AATAGTAGTATTTTACTGTTGGTTTAGCCAAGGAGTAAATTAATTATTTTTATAATTTGTATTGGATTACCAACTATCTAAGTCTCAAGACCCTAAAAAAGTCAGGCCTCAGTTTGCGAAGCAGTAGCCAAGTAGTTTAAAAAATTGTTTTGTTGCACAGCCTTTTACATCCTACCATTCGCTATTGCAAAATAGGTTTTGGCACAGCTGTTCTAGAAACAACTGATCTTTTAGGATCTGATAAACGAGGCTATCAGTTGCGCAAACGCAACCGGACTCGGTGGCGCGGTGGTGGCGCGCGAGGTAACCTTTCCGACGCAACGTCGATTCCGGCTGGCTCGACCTACATTGCACGCTTGTGAAATTTCTCCTCCAATTCCGAGAACGCACCTCCGTTGGGGATTCCCATCACGCCATTGCCGCCGGACCGATGCAACCTTTACCTGTTTCATAATTTTTACTCGCCAAATATGGCAGCTTTATTTTCAGTACGGGCTTAGAATTTTTTTGCACAAGTAACAGCTGCTATTGTAGCATCCTCTCTGAAACTGCTAATTAATAATTGACCTCTAGTCGAGACCCTAACAGATGTATTTGTTTGTTCGATACCTAATAGCACCAACTAACGCCGGATGCTGACAATTTAACCTAATAGTTGACATGAAATCGATTAGTTCGCTAATATTGTATACGAAGACGCCGTGACTTTGCTATCTTGACCTCAATTCAACTGGAGTCTGTGAGACCGTATTTATAATCTATTTCTCATGTGGCCTAACGCTAAAACCTGTTTTGTGACTGCCATACTCCAAGCAACGATTAGGTAATAACGATGCTGGATTCTTAGAATACTGTGAATCATCTATTTACCATCGGAAGTGAAGAGTTTGTACTTACATGTGACATTATTGTGTGTATGTTTGTAATGAATTGCCACGGCAGTGCCATATGCTCCATCATCCATTGATAACTTCATCGTACAAATTGACTCACCTCATTGTATATCGAATTCTTAAGTAACAGATTATCAAACTTTATCGCAAAATATAAAACATCAGTCGGTTTCTTAGTATGTTTCCTTATTTTTGATATGTTGAAATTTCCAAGAATGCATAGTTGATTTCAAACTTGCTATGCAGGTAAAAAATATATCATGCACCTGTGGCGGCAAATGACGTCATATTTGAGGCACGCGTGAGACCACCACTAGGTTGTATAATAACCTATATGTTTACAAAACTGAGACTTTATATACTGTGGCAATGTACTTATGAAAAGATTCTAGTTTGAGACGCTAATACGTGCTTTGTTTGTATAAAACTTATCTCCGTGACATAGGCAAGTAATTTAAGTCGAAACGATGATGACATGATTAAGCAATAAACTGTTGTAATATTTAATAAATTTGATTAATATAACTACCTTTTTTTTCAAATAAAATTCGGCTCCATTTAGATAACACGTATGTAAACAAAAAATGGTCCAAAACACAGTGGGACCACCAAAAGCTTCAAAAGCTTTTATGTAATTGCACAAGCTTTAACAACAAAGTCTTAATAAAACATGAGTGACTTTTTTATTACCTGCTTCTGCGATAACGTCTGCCGTTATCCATTTAACATTTTAGTCCATTACATGAAACATTTGGTATTGTCTTTGACAACCTGTCGATTCCTTTATAAGTATTCTGTTTTGTAAAGTAAGGTTGATAATGAACACCAGTGGACAGTAAAAATGACTACTTACGAGATTAGGTTTAAATGTATTTTTAAATTCTTTAAAAAGTGGTATACTTCAATTATTCTTTGTCAAGAATTTTTGGTTTTAACGTGTTATTTTATCGATGGGAAACTTTCTAGCCGAAATGAGATCATTCGTTATACTGAGCGCTGAGGTACCTACCTATCTTATTATGCCTTCTGTTATTTTGTTTCAATTGTATATGTTTTTTTATTTACGTGAAATGTATGTTATTATCAGAATATTATGAAGCATTCACTGAACTATTTATTAGTAGAAAAAAAATATTATAAATCAAAACAATTAAGTTGTTTTGATTAATCAAAATTGCATGTGTTTGTGTTTAATAAATGGTTTTTCTTTCTTTCTAATCAGATGAGAACAATTTTATTGACTAGCAATTTCCAAAATTTGTCAAGAAAAAGTGAAATAAAAACATTTTTTTTTATAAGAACCGTAATCTTTTGTTTGTGGTAACTGTTTGTTCCCCGAAGCCTCTATTCACTTGAAGGACAAACAAAAGTGTATAGTTTGAGGCAATAAATACTGAAAAAGTTACATTTATTACCAAAGACGCCGCAAATAAAACTTTTTACTGTCTATGATTTAAACACAAAGATCACTGCGGTTGACTTTCGCTTACGAAGCTCCGGGAACTCCGTTATTTGCAGGAAAATAAATCCCAGGCGGTCAGATCTTGAGAATGGAGTGACTCATGAGATCGCCACGCATGGCATCTCACCGGACGCTCTATTTATTTAGCCTCATCGCTTGATTATCGGGATAGTCTGAAAATTAATTTAAAAAGTTATTGCTGGTTGGTTTCCACAAAAATATTTTTGTGCAACTAATTGTATAGACAAAGACTTCATCGCACCAATTGGCGAACTTAATTTTCTTTGTTCTAACAACGTGCAGTAATAATTACGTCACAATAATAAACGCGGGGCCTGATATTTACAACAGCTGCGGAGTCCTTGTTCCGATTAAGGACAAGAATCGTGCTTACTGCCCTGTAGATTACTGACATTTTCCACGTTTCCGCCTCGGCTGCCTTATTAAAAGATGTCATGTTTACAGTTGCACAGTAAACGCACGTGCATCGTATCGTTTTGAGACCTATATTTACGTACAATTTACATAATATTGCACGGATAGGTCTTAAGGTAGGTAATTGACTCCTTCGTCGTTTTGTTTTAATTATGTATTATCATAATCTATACATCGATCGCAACACAAAGACATTTATTATGGTGCGGCATTGAAAAGTGCATTGTGTACATTGATACGAAATTATGCTACTAATTTTAATCATTTGTTTCTGTTTTATCGTGTTAAACAATTGACATTATTAATGTAACTCGACCGGCACATGATTTAGTGTGTAATTTATCGTCTCTACCATCTATTTGGGAATTCCTGGTCAGGATTATAACACTGAATGCGGCATGTTCCCGCCTACAACGGAATACGTGATAGACGGCACAATAACTGCACTTCCAATACAGACGCCATTATTTAATGAACCCTTGTCAGATGAAAAGGTCAAATTATTTGGAAAGATTAATCTCGTAACTTATGCGGGGCTTACAAGCCTTACCGGATTCCTCAGCTGACAAATGAATTGTATGACATTGATTTTATTTAACAAAAGAATGAACAGGGAGCTGCTTTTTCTTAGCACCTCTAACTCGGAGCAAATAAAACCTTGGTCTTAGATCTCTAACCGTATAATTTTTTTATGCGTTTTAAATTTTTATTATTCTATTCATATAATTTAAGGTTTATTAAGTCACAGCATTGTGGATCGAAATTACTTCACACTTCCCATGATTGTAGATATATTTTATTTGTAATTTAGACAAAAAGTGATTATTTCGATGATATGAATTACGGGTTTGGCGGAGGGGGCATAATTTGCGCTGGTCGCTGGAGTGTAATGCACTCATAAATGTTTACGGCTCGGGTTATGTCCATCGTCAATGTTATTTAAATCATTTTTTGATACCTCGCTCGGCTTAAGGATAACTAAGGAATTTATATTGACGCGCAATAATTTAACTTTACGACATTTTGTTCAATTTACGTACAATTCTTAATGGCAACTTCCATTTTATTCTCGGTATATGTCGGTTCTTGATTCAACGTGGAATTCAGCAATAAGTATTTTATTTTGATTTAAAATATTTGATATAGTTTTGGTTAGATGCGATGCCTCTGCAATTTTATGCTGTCGTGTACGCTGTTTCTTGACCAATTATTTTATCAAGGTGAACTTTGATACGAACCCTGTAAACAAATGGATTAATGGGTTTCGAACGAGTGCTGCCGACCGCAATTCTTCGAAAACAATTTTGTATTTAGCTACACCTACGCAGTTCATTATGTGTACTGGTAGACATCTACAAAAGGTCACAACTCGCAGTTTTTACTTTAGTGAATTCATTAGACTTAAAGATAACGTTATGTATTTCATCATCTTATTATTTCTTGCACCATTTCTATCATTATTTTGTAGACTATACCTATTAATATGACATCACAGAAGTATGTGTCGAACATTGAACCCCGTCGGTGAGAATGATATGTGATCAAACTTTTTGAACCGATGTCATTGCCTTTTTGATTGATAGCCTAGGAATATTTTAACAATTTTGGGTCCTTGTGAAACTTATAAACATATTTGTGTATTTTGTTCACGTACATACGTGCAAACCACCAGTCGAAGAGTGCGTTTTCCTCAATCCATCTTTGTCTATTCTTCCCCATTCGCGGCTCATTAGACGCGATTGCATTGTATAGTTGTTTGTGCTTAAGTTATTTTTCCTAAACCCGTAACATGTAAGTATTATATGTAAGCATGTACTTTGAAGTAGATTATTTGAAAAATAGTATGTTTTTCCTTTTGCTGTGTCTAATGGTACTTATTAATCGTACTACCTTTACGACCGCTTAGCTAACGTTGAACTATTTGTTTTTTAAATTATATTTCATCCCTTTAGATTTTGTGGTTTATAATTTGAAGAAAGCAGGGCTGTTGTTATTTTGACACCGCTACATTGGTGGCCTGAGCTTGCATAAAATCATGCTCAACATGCTCGTACTAATTCAATTATTCCGTTTATGTAGCGATCGGATCGCGTTGCATATTGAATTTCTGCTCGGCCGACGCACTTCTAGCCCAATTAGGAGGACACTAAAAAGGTTCTGCGTTTGTTTGTGCTTCATTGTTCTCACCGGTATCTGGGCTGGCAGCCGCCTTAGTTTCGCAACGGCAGCGGTTTTCTTTTTAAGGAGTCGAAAGTTGTTGATTTTGTGTGACCGAGGTGCAGTGTGCAGTTGTGAAATGTCGCGTAGGTGCAGTGCATAATGTGCGGGGGCCCGTCTGGCGGCGGTAGCGGCGGCGGGTTGGCGGCGTGGCGGTGGCTGAACCGGGTACCGAGGGGCGGTCGGTGGTGTTTACGATGCACCGATGCGGCGTCGAGTGGGGCGTAGGCGTCGCCGGGGGGCGTCGCGCCAGGCTTATCAGACGGTGGCGGGGCCGGCGCGCGAGCCTCACTCCACGGTCTACCGCCGGCCGCGCGCTCGTTCCGTACACTCTCGCTGACAACGGTTTAGATAACAAAAACCTTTGTCCAGCCCGATGCAATAATATTTACACGCCGTGTCCTCTGCGTCGCGTAGTTTCTGAGGGGGTTTTCCGACGTCGATCGACATCTGTGCCGATTGTTTTTGCTGCGCGTACGCGTGTTCTGCGCGTGTTTTGTCAAGTTTGAACAAGTTTTTTACGACTTTGATTTGCAATTGCAATTTGTCAGTTAAATTGTGAAGTGTTGTGCTATTTGGATTGCGATTGCCATATCTGCCTTGGTAGAATTTCGTAAGTGTTCTTCTTTGTGTATTATTTTGTTTGCATGTTGTTATATGGATTCTTGAGTGTTTAATATTTTTTGTATTTTCTGATGCATTTCTAGTGAAAATGTTTAAATTTTTAAGTAGTCGCATCAGTTGTATTTGCATTGCAGCCTTCATATTCTATCGTCATAGTTTAAAAATTATTGATTTCGTTTGTGACGTACTGTGATCAGAGTTGATCTGGTGGTAGAGGCGCGCGCGCATGGGGCCGCGGGTAGGCGGCGGTGGCGGCGGCGGCTCGTGCGCCGCGACGCTCGCCCCGTGTCATCGTTCGCGGTCAGTTGAACGAACCCTCTGCCGCCCGACGTCAACTTTACCATAATCGCGATTATTTGCATGGCCATTGTATGTACCTGTTGGTTCTGACTGACATATGATCGATTGTCTTACAATCTCACTGGTCTCACGTTACCAAAAGAAAAATAACTAAAATTTTCTGCGCCTTATGAATAGCTAATATTTATTTTTCATGCATATATTAGTTCTTATGCTAAATCATAGGTTTAACTTGGAAAAACAACAAACATTTATACAATGGAATTCATTTCAGGATTCTCAAATATTTATCTACTTAGGAAGATTGTATTTTTATATCGTTAAGGTATTATTACAATATTGTAACTGCGAATACCATTTTTAATGTTAATAGACTTTTAAGTGTCTTTTATTTGTTCTGAAAACTTTGTTATAAGAAATTTACTTTAAATATGACTATAATTAACATGGAAGTAACGCTAATAACCGTATAAATAAATATGAAATTCGATGAATATTCTTGAACGATACTATAATGTTCAAAGATTGATGTCCTTGATGATAAGATAGAGGCAGCCGGCTCAAACGGTGTCGTAAACAATGGACATGAAGTAGGATATATTTTCTTACACATAAACTACGTATGTACCTATGTGGATATGTAAGGTACAAACAATATGACGATAACTAGAAGGACTTTAAATTCCGGATATCACAATACAAATACGCTTGTTGGTAGGTAATATTTTGTGGTATCTTTAGTCAAGGTGATTAAAATAGAAAATTCTAGATACTTTGTCACGTGTGAATGGCACATTCGGTTTTCAAATAAGATTTTCAAAAAAGGTAAGACTATATAGGTTTTATCTTAAAATGACATAAACAATAAATAAAAGACGGGAGTAGATTTGATTCCCTTTTTTACTCACTAGTTTGCAAATTAACTACATATTATGTGTTATAAACTTAAAATAAGCAATATATTCATTTTATTTGTATTTAACAACGCTGTTTGTTCAAAATGCAAGGCATACAGACCGTTCCATTATTCCCCCCAAGTTTTATATGTAAAAAGGAATAATTGTATTTTATGCGGGCTTATTATGCTTCGTGTGTCGTTAAAACGCGTCTCGTCGCTTGATGAGAATCGTAAAAGACTTTTATCTGTGCTTCTATGTAACCTAGCTTACGTCTATATGGGTTTTATAAAAACTTCGCTATTTCTTAGACATTCACGTAAATAATATGTTTAAAATTGGGACCATGATTAGTAATTATATATCCGAATAGTGTACCTACCATAGTAAAATTTCAAACTTAGGCGTCGGAACCAATCAGTTACGACCGTTTTAAAATGATACGTTCAAAATAGCTATTTTTCTTTCATCTTTGTCAAACTTAATACTGAAAACTTTTATGTTTCTTAGTGAAGGTGTGAAATAAATTATTTTTGGACTAGTCCGGAGTAAGCGGTCGTTATCTCTACAATTATAGCACATAAATTACAATATATTGTTTGCTCTGCTGCTTTGAGTTCTGTGCTGTCATTTTCATTACACCATTATATACTGTAATCAGTACAATTGATTCTTGTAGTCAGTCTCACAGACTAACTGAAACCAAAAATTGTTGCCAAGTTGGGCGCTTATAAACTGCCAACCTAGGCTGCAGCCTACTCAGCCTGTTCCAGTCTATTAAGATTTACGTTTCAAAATAGTTATTATTAAGATTTGACTGTAATTTATCTCCAAATAGTTTTGGTTGTCATTACAATAAAAAGTTATATGCGTTGCCAGATAGGCAAGGCAGTACAGCATATATCTTTCCCGTATTTGTACGGAGCGTTATCTGTATATTGGTCAGTTTATTCCAGGCATGTTGGAAATTCTTTAGAACGGCGATTGTGAAATAGGTATTCGCGATAAGTGCAAGTGTTTGTGTACGATTTCTCGGTAATATGATAACGCCCGTTGCCGGTGTAGGCAGACAATTCGGATGGCCGCTATCTACGGCTGATAATTCCAGCCGTGTGTCTTGCTATTGTAAAATATCCTTCTGATAAAACTGACGCTAGATGTTCTTAGTTTAGCAATTATTACTTATTTCACGGTGATTCTCTTGAATCCAAAATTTAAGAAATCTTTTTTTATCAATAATAAATCAATCGCATTCGTAATATATAATAAACGATTTGAATTTATTACATATGTGGTGTAGATACGTATGCGTTGATTTGGCAAAAAAATATATGTATCTCAGAATATTTACTGTAGGTATTACAATACATAATGAAATAAACAATTTCATATGTATGATACATGGTTATGCAATTAATGGCTAAAGTGATCTTAAATACTTATCAATATATTATAAATCATGCAACTAGTGTACCGCTGCTGAAATGCCAATAAAAGCTTAGTAAACATTATGAAATTAAATCTGTTTTGATTATTTAAAAAATACAGTCATAAACTGCGATGTTATTCCTACAGGGGTCGTCGGTACACTTCTGTTCTGACGGAAAAAGTAAATTCTAAGTATGATCCGTCGCTTACTAAATTATACCTACTTCCGTCAGATTTGCACCGATCCTAATTATGAAAATGCACTTGCAAATGTTAGATGCGTATTTGGTTTTATTTTGATGTTTCAAATAATACTTCACCTTTTTAAATTTCATACCTTAAAGCATTTAGTTGGGTAAAATTTTAAGCTACTTATCCGATTTCATGTATTGGCAAATAAACGTCTTGAAGTCGGAAAAAAGCCAGTTATTGGGTTTCATAAATTAAATTAACTTATTCGACGTAACAGTCTGTTCGAGCGTCATTAAGTTTTTTTTATTTATTTCGCCGTTATAACCTTCAGTATATCCTTGGATATATAAAACCGGGTTGGCGAGCTCGTTGGGTTTATCTGTGGTACTAGGCGGTGCCAGGGTCGGGCTGGCCTTCCGCACCCAGCTGATAAAGCAACACTTTCCACTGCGCCCGCGCACTACGTAAATTTACTGTCCCCAATGAGAATTTATTGTTGATCTCAGTTTACAGCTGCTGCTGTAGGCAATTGTGAGAACTACCTTTTATTACTTTTATAATAGAAATTAAGCGTTATTAAAATAATATCGTCTACTGCATGCCATTTACTTTCAATAAAAACCATCACAATAAAGTAGTGATTTGCTGTCTAATGGAAAAGATTGACGAAGACAACATCGGATAATAATAGCAAATAAATAAACGTGACTCTTAGTAACGTATTATGCACAAACAGCCATTATGTATTAATGTCATTATTAACATCGCGCAGCTTTGGTTCATTGCCTCCATATTTGTGTTCAGTGAAATATAGCAGGTAATAGCACTTGCCCGGTTGTGGCGTTGTTGTTCAAAAGAAATTAGCATAAGTGCCGCCTAACAGCAGCCGCCAGACAATGCCTTTGTCTGTGTGTCTGTCCGTTTGCGTATACATTCCGACAACGATTTAAATAGATATTTTGTTTGCGATTCTGCTAACGCGCTCTATGATTTATTTGTTTTAAACATACTACGTTTTATGTCTGCGTTGCTTTGTTTAGAACTCATTAAATGCTCTGCTTAACGTTGGTCATACATTATGATTTCCTCGTAGCTCTATTAAATCTTATTTCCTTTTTAGTTTACCAAAGCAAAATTACTGAACAAAGTCATCCTTAAAATTATTTCGTTATATTTAAAATTAGACACATGTACTACTTTAGTTTCTGCGCTTGGTTGTCTGTATTTTGAATTCTTGTCAATTGTCGGCGTGGGACGTAATTAAGAACTAATAAAATGTGAATAAAACGTTGAAATTACGGCCAGGTGAGTGACTTTCGGACCGACAATATTATACATTTTAACAAGGAAACGAATATGTTTTCCTTTATAAACACAATTAAATGTGATTCGCAGTAATACACGCGGATAATAAATAAACGAACTGAAAAATAAGTCCATAAACGTAATTTTATTTCAGAGTGTAGCGTTTTAGAAACCTTGTCTGCTGTTAAAACTTTACTTGTATATTTTTATATTGCAGATAACTTATTATAATCATAGATGAGTAATATCTTATTATTTAAATATAATACACTTGAATATGTTTGCGGTTTAATGATTCACGTAAGAAAAGCTTGAACTTTGTAATACAAGACCGTAGAAATGGGCGCTATCATTAGTACCTACCAGAAGGTAAATTGTTCTTTCGGACAGAAATCGATACAATATCTTATATTGTTTACTAGAGACTGTTGAAAGTCCTAAAATCATAATGGATGGATGATTTGCAGTTTGGTTCGTGGCGTTCATAATTATTGTGCTCTTTGTTCTAACGCTGTGCAGTGCAGCTGCGCGCTTCTTATCGTTCCTACTAACCAATAACACAATTTTCTAACACGTAAAGTTAAGTAACTTAGTATTTCAAACAAAATAAAAGTAAATTATACGAAGAATATTTGTTTGTACTATTCAACTTCTGTTAAATTAAATTTGTTTAACTTGGGGAAAAACGCTCCCCCAAGGTTAGCTAGAAAACCGCAAGGTGAACAGAATAATGCCCGAATTTTGCCTACCTACTTAATTTATATTCGTAGCGAATCTATGGTTTATTTCTAAAGCCTCTTGGCTCCATTTAAAAAAAAAACTTATCATTGTTTTTTTCTGTGTGCGTGATGTCTGCGGTTTGGTCGCGTTGTCGGTCGCGCCGCGAGCACGCGGAATGCTCACAATTTCCGGACGATTTCCGGCCCTCAGACTCCGGCGCTATGTATTGCTTTTTCACATCTTATTATTAGTGGCACATGCTATAAAGTTATCGAATTCGTTAATTATCAATAAATTTTATTATTTACTCGTACTGTATTGATGTGGTCTCTCAAGTTTTCCACTATTTTTTTGTATTTGTTTTTCCTGTTTTCTCATTGCTTCCTCGTTCTTAACCTTCAGAAGTGCCACGTTTCTTTTGTAACATGTTTAATGTTACTATGTTTTAGTTACCATTTCTTAGAATTGGAAAACTTATTGAATTTCAGTAGTTCCGAGGAGCCGAAAATATTCATAAGTGAAACTGTAGTGTCGCGCGCTGATTCATAAGTCTATGAATCATTCAACGTAATCGAGTTTTTGAATCGAGCCGACGACGAATGTAAATACGCAATCGTAGTGACCTGCGATAGAGAGCGAGCAGCGTGACTCACACGGGTTTTCCGAGAATCGTAGAATAGTAGAGTTTTCGTGAAAATGAAGGTTAGCTCCGGTCGATCGGCCGCGTTAATGAGCCTCACCATTGTATTGATGGCGCTCATTTTGTTTTGGTTTTAATGCGCAGGAAATTTTCATACAGCAAAGTACACTTTTATAACATGCGAGCAAGGTTCACGACCTCAAAATCGTCGAGGGTGAGTCTAGGGTACAGAGTGAAAGCGACAGTACATCGATCGGGTTGCACTAACGGATCTGCAAAAAAGTTGTAATATATTGTTTATTCATCGCTGCGTGGGTTTAGTTTCGCTGTTTCTGTTCGCTTTTAATTCGGCAATGGTTGTGGATTACCACTCCTCGTTCGTGGAATAAAGGCGAGTGAAGGGCGCCTGGCGCGATGCCAGCAACCGTCGATTTATTTTATTATTCGCCGAGTTGCGGTCAATGTCGCGACAGTCAGTCGGCGCCGTACATCGATGGCATATGTTACTTTGTACCTACACACTTCTACACTATAAACTTTACACAGATGTTACTGTAGATTACCTTCCAACATCAGCATGTTAATATAAATAACATTCTGCAGTTCCTAGTTTTGCCTTTGTCCTAACAGTGCCACATATTTATTGCTTACATTTTTGTATATTATGACAACTAACTACTGAATTTACTAGATGTTGTTCTCTAACGAACAGAACCTTGAACGTCGAGCGAGACTCACGGGCATGTGATTTATGTTGTGTCTTCTAACTGATTTCGTTGAAACACTACGAAGAGTACTTGAACGTATACGCGTTACAACACAAACATGTCTTTATTCCATTTAGAATCTGTTCAAGGAATTTTCTAACTCGACAACCCGAGCGCTATTAGTGCGGGCAATTAGCGCTGCGTTAATGAGCTCCCACACAGCCGTCCACGCGCGATATGAGTCTAGTCATACGAGGTGTTTTCTCTGAAGATAGCTTCTGAATTCGTCAGTGTTATAGCCTAGTGGTGTTTTACGGCATGCGTACTTAGCGATCAGAATAAGTTCCGTATTTACAAGGAATTGAGGTCAGTTTTCGTGCAACCGTTTCACTCAGCATATGCAATTGCACGAGAGGAATTTTACTCTACTCCTACACAAGTTCGCGTTTCTCAGTAAACAGTACTATTTGCTCAGGGTATTTTCTTATTTTTAACGATATTTAGGTACTTTGTCTTATATTACTTTGCATGTAAAGTGCGTTATCAAGAGAGTAAAATATGTATCTATCTTTTGTATCAATGTGTTTTAGCTTAAGTTATTATGAATGGTTTTTCCTGAAAATCCTGATAGGAACAAAACAAATTAACTTGAAAACTTAAATATTTACCAATAAGTAGACCTAAACATGTAGAATGGTCTGCTCGGTTCTTATTTATTTATCTGTCGTATTAATCTGTTCGCATCTATAGACTATTGTCAAAAAGATTAGAGGCCGTTGCCCTTTTACTATATTGAAGTCCAAATCGCCAATAGTGCAATGTGGGTGGGCGTGTTCACCTGTGCGGTCACGCGCGAGCCACGTGCGCGCGCGCAAGATATCTGCGTGCGCTTGTTCACTACTACGCCATCAAACTAGGTGGTTTTGGCAAACATCACTTGTAGCTAATTGGTAGTCAATAATTTTTATTATAATTGCTTTCACATAAGTATAAGTAGTAGGTGGGTACCTATTATAATTATACGTTTTGGAAACTAACAATCTATAGTTGTTCTAGTAAGTTCGTTATTTTAGCTATAATTATCTATAGGTGTAGATTATCGAATTTTGTTATTTTGTAATTGTAGTTGTAAATAATTTGTTACTTTAATAATTTCTGGGTAAATGCTTTCACTCCAAAGTCGATATGAAATTAAGTTGATCACACCGGGAATACTCTTAAATACGATTTGTAAGATCATATCATTGAGATTTAATTTGTCTTTTAGTGTTCTGATTGATTATTATCAGTAATACGTAAGAGTTAATAAATCTATTTATTATTAAATCAATTACAAACAAACATGTGTTATTTATTATCGTGTTTCGTTCCCGGAAAACGGCTCGCGCGAACGATGCGGTGATAATTCGCAAATAGAAGTGCTCCCAGCACTTCTTTCAAAGAAAACGTCGCAGTTTTTAACGTTTTTTTTGCAATTTCAGGTATATTTACTTATTCCATATATTTAAATTGCCAAATAACTATTGGTATTACAAATACAGATGTTTACTTTATAATAATTTTGCATTTTAATTCAAATAAATACATCAAATTTTAGTGTTTTGGATCCTTTTTTTTGCACCTAAATTTCACTAATTACGGTACTACATAGGCATTTCTGTGTTATTAGTATTTCTGAAAAATATGGGCCATATTGTCCCCTACCAAGTTAAACTTTCACCTAAAAAATAAAAACACGTTTTACCGTTTCCTATAATGAGGATTAACCATCTAAAAATACTCATATAAACCCGCTCATTTAGGTTATGCAGACATGTAAATTAAACAATTCAATGGTGATAATAAGCATTTAAATTGTGTGTACTAAAAAATAGAAAACATGTGCAATGTGAACACGGATAGAACTTAACTGTATATTTGTAATGAAACATACATAAAAAGTATTTCTTATTGTCTACTTAAAATATATTTCCAAACGTAAAATAATACGTTAAATTATATTATCAATAGAAGTGAGAAATATACTTAATTTTAGTGTTGATATGCACAAGACGTTCCGACGCCAATAAAAACAAAGAAATAAAACGATGTTTAGATAATAATTGTGTCAGTAAAAAGCTGATCTATCATATAGTGCGGTTGTTCGGTGGGTACATTATGTACTTACGTCACAAACTAAAATAGTGGTGATCTCATGGCGTCCCTCGCGGCCGCGGCCGATAACTACAACACTGTCGGCGTTATGCCCTCCGACGTACAATAAGTACCTCCAATGAGAGGTGACTTTAACATAACACACAATACCGAACACAAAATTCACGTAATAACGATGTTACAGGAACTTTTACAAAAACGTTCCAAGATTTTGTCAGAGTTTAACCTATCGTGTAATGGCATGTGCATTCAAAATTAATGATTGCCGATAAAACGGTGCATGATAAACACATAAACCATCGGTTAATTGCTAGGTAAGCACCGTGACCAATTAACGAAGCCGGCGCGCGCGCATCGAGACGATTTTCATTTGAGCAATTGTGGTAATTGGCGGCCTTCCGGAGCCTTTGTCCCCTCGCAGCCGTCGAGGAATCGTTCGCAGTCGCCGCCACCGCGCCGTCCCGTCAACGTTTTACAATGCTGACCGAAAACTAACTGGACTCGATTAGCTGCTTTTGTTCCATAACAATATTATCTTACAATTGGTAATCTCCTCTGTTATTACGCCACAGTATGTAATTACATCTTACGGATCTTGACATTGACATGACAACCTTTTTGTTATATGTTATGGTTTATAAGAATTAATTTTGCTTAACATCAAACCAATTTTCTCAAACCAATTTCTACAATACCGATTATGGTAATAATACAATGCATATTAACGATTAATTGAGATTCTTATTAAACAATGCCAAATAAGGCTGTATTCAGACAGGCATCGCCCACGGCCCGAGACGACCTTGCGGTAAGGATCGACCGAGCTTCCCGCCCACAGCGCGGCGGCAACGTTCTGACTAGAACTGTCGTTACCGACAGCACCTTAAGTGCTTCAACAAAAATAATGTTTTCTTTTAAGTAGCTGATTTTTTACAGACACTTCACAGTTATTTGAGTTGTCTAATGTCTATAGTTCTTTGTTAGATATCGAAAGTGTTGAAAGCTAACATAAGCGGTGTTGACAGCTGTCAATTCTCCCAATAGACAGCGTTGCTAGCCTTTGTTTTGAGACAGACCCTGCCGCCCATTACCTCAGATAACTAGCGAGCACAGCGTGCGATGCGAAATGACGCGAAATATTTCCGGAGTTAGAGGAGTATTCTATTAATAAATGATTCGGAGTCGGTCGTGGGCGAAGATTTCGGGCGAGCGCGGCGGGCGAGGCGCAGCGCAGTAGCGCGCTATCCGCCGCGGCCGGCCGCCGTACGCGCGCAACGAACGAACGACCCGCACTCCCGCGCACGATACAACGCGACGCGTCGCAAACGACGAACCGATCCGCCCCGAACAACCCCTAATAAAAATCATACCACTTTTATTTGACGGATCGATAGCAAACGCTGGCAGCGAGGGCGGATTTAACGAAAAAAATCGACTAACAAATTCGAATCGCACGAAGGTGTCGCCTCGCAAAAAGCGCAACACAATAGAGTAAGCGTCTAATTATAAACGTGGTGGAGTTAGTACCATCGAGATGCAGAACATCGATCCGCTGGAGATCGCCAACATCCTGGCCACGGAACTGTGGTGCCAACAGGTACCATACAGCTACCCCCCAAACCCAATATCTCCCGACACAATACTTTTGTACCAGTCAAACCTAGATAAGTTTGAAACACGTTTCGTTTCCAGTATATTTAAGCTTATTTCTTCGTGTAGGATGGATGGTAGTTTTGATTTTATAATATATTCACCGTTTCTATGATATAGATAGAATGCCTGTGATTAAATTGAGTATATATCTAAATTTACCCATTTCTGAACTAATTAGGCACCACGAGTAATGAAATGTAGTCTTATTTATTATTGAGATCGGCCTCGTACGAGTGATTTATGGGTTTGCTTTCAACTACTTCAGAGTTTGTTGGGTTAACGTTATTTACATAGTTATTGAGCCATGTATTTGAAATTTGTTTAGGTAGACGTACCCGAATATATTGACGCAAATTTCTTTTTCTTTTACTGTAATCGTTCAGTGCATCGCAATCAACAATTTGTTATCATTGTAACTTACGTTATGCAAATATTGTGCAAATAACTATTAATCGGTATGTGGAAGCAATCGCTGCTCGAACAAAAAACAAATAAACATTACCGTATCACAATATATTCACTCAATTCTCATGTTGCATTTTCCATTATCAATTACTATAATACTACAAAATCATTAGAAATTTTGGTCGATAAACCATTAAGTGAATAATGATGTAAAGGACATTATGTATGCCAATTAAATATTGATTGTAGTTTATATTTTGAGGTATGCTATAATATATGAGCTCATACATAACTGATTCAATGAATAAGAAAAATCAATTTCGTAGTCTACACTTAACGACGATAATATCTTTAGATCCTGTCTACTCAATAACAGATCCAGTTATCTATTTATTGGCAAATTAATATTAATGAAAATACTATAAATCATGACTACTATTATTGAGGTAGATTTTAGATTTAAACTTCTAATCGTTTAGTAGGATTTGTCCTGGAATAAATGGCAACCAGGCTCTGAATTTCATCTCGATTAACTAGAGTATGTATGAGTAACAGTTTTGTTCTGTTCTTCCGCAGCTGGCAAATCTCGAGGGCCTCCAGTCGGGGGTCCCGACCCGCACCACGGCCACCATCACGCCGACTCAGCTGCGCAACTTCGAACAGACATACATCGAGCTGAGCAATTGTCGCAGTGAACCCACACACGCAGGGTTCGTGCCCCCTTCAGTCACGCACGCCAACAACTACGGTAAGAACTACATGATTGAATAGGAGTAGTTTCTAGCTGATAGAAGAATTCATTAGACTTCATGAGCAATTTTACGTATTTTGAGCAAATTTGCAAGATTTCTAACTTCAATGACGCGTTGTGGATTATAGACCTTAATTTATTAAACTGGCTTAAATCCTGAAACGGTCAATCGTATAAGATACTGAAGGTTTCACATTTCGCTGCTGTTGCTGGCTAACTCTATTCTTAATGCTAATTAGATTATGTATGCAAAGGTGTTGTAATGTCATACTGCAATGGTACTGTCGCTAACGCCGTATAATACTCAAAACTTCTGTTTTGGGTTTATCTACATCATCGGCCTGCAGCAGTCCACGCTGGACATGGTCTCATTCAATACGTCCCATTTTCTTTATATTGGGTTTTTCTCATTCATCTCCTGTCTGCGAACTGCTCCTAATAGTTCTGGTTTGTCTTGATATCGATATGCTTGAAGAGTCGTAAGTCCGTTGTGGCAATTCAATTTGAGGACTATTATTGACAATTTAGGTACAATATCTCTATTTTAATCTATAAGTGATTACTGTAACATTTATGCAGCTGCGTCGATATTAAATTTTGTACGTAACAAATGCATTGTAGGTAATTTGTTAACTGATTATATCGATTGAACTATATTTTCTGAAAGTATTGATTTTAGTATCGATAACGTTATCTAGTTAGATTAGAGCCACTAGAACACGATGTGGACGGTGAAATTGTGCCCGTTTATTGTATTGTGCACGTGTCTCTTGGAATGTGTCTGTTGATAATAGCTTGCAGAATAATCTAATTTAATTGATTGCAGTAGATTATGAAAAGTGAAATTCTGCTTAAATATATTTAATTGAAAGTTTTAATTATGTTACTTGTATTTTTACTTATAAAATCAAGGCATTGATTATAAAGATTTCTGCAAGATATTTAATTGTGTTAGATAATACAACCAATTATGATTATTGGTTTGGTTTCAAAAGCTCGTTTATATTTCTATAACGTTCAAGCGCTCCGTCTGTTTATAGGCACTACTGCGTGGGTTAACCTTACTGTAATTGCAATAGAGGGTGAAGTTTACGTTTCTCTAAAGCGATTACTATACATAACAATAACTAATTATTGTTGAGAAACTAATTACGGAGCGCAAGAGTTTGTTATTGCAAATTCTCTATTACCAATATTTTATAGGGAATAGGGAAAGTATATATTAGGTGTTTTAGCTGAAGTCATATATTATATCGCAGTGGAATATAATTTCTATGTCTTTCTTTTATTATTAATAAATATTATTTAAGTATTACTAATAATTAATATCATTATCATACTTGGATATCACCTATTAACTGTTGTCCCTCCTATGTTAACACAATTAAGCACATCTAAATATTCGTTTACGATCTATCAGTAGTTGTAATAAAATGTTTCTCTATGTTTACAGGCATACTGAATCCGGTGGGCTATTGCGATTCGGGCCCGACGACGGCGCTGCATGTGTCGCCGGGCCCTCTCTCAGCCAGCGGCGATAGCAGCAGTAGTCCCGGACTCCCAGCACCTAAACGGCGCAACATGGGTGGCAGGCGACCAACTAAGGTATGGCGTCATTATTACCCTACAGCAATTTACTGATTACATATGACATATGTCTTCCCCAATTCGTTCCATTTTTTTCTGTTTTGGGCTACTGCATAAGGTTACTGTCGAAAGTTTTTTATCGTCCGCATTTACTTCGGCACATACTTCCACTCTGACAAGTGATGCGGGGAGTATTTGGTGGGAAAGTCGCCGGGATCAAAGCTTAACGTATCTTTCGAAGCGGAATCTTGTGATAGTATATTTTGATGTCATGATCAATTTTCTTAATTAGTTATTAAAACCTCCATAATTGAGAATCATAATAGTATTTTTGAAGACAGAAAAAAATGATTTCTAACTTTTGAACTCGTCTAATTGAAGTACTTAATCATGGAAAATAAAACATCCGAATTTAGAATCTAGAAATGCCGTTAGATGAGTAGGTAGTCAGTCGTTCTCATTAAAACTTTTCACGGGCTATTAATCGCTTCACTAGATAGCACTATTTCTAAAAAATTCACATTTTATTGCATAAATTAGACTTAATTGAATTTCAATCCTGTCAAACTGCGTTTTCAATTCGTAAGATAGTAAAACTATATTATATATTCAAGAGTAATAATGTTAAAACAAACCCAAATTATAATAACAGAATTTCCATTATTAGCTGTTTACGCAATAAAATGTCTCTAGAAAATAGTCATGTATATAGTATTTTGTCTAGTGAAATGAATAAATGAATAATATTTTGCGTTTACATCAAGTCCATGTGCGAGTACTGTTAAAATTCGTCGATCTTACGTGCCATCTTCGAATAGTAGTTTCTGGATCAATGACTGTTTTATATTGTCTGTCACGAATCTATAGGAGTCATTACCTTATTCCAATTCTTTGACTACTAGACATATTCCCTCAGAGATATCTTTTGATTATATGTAATAATCTTGCCTCCATTTTGAAATATACAAGAAAGAGTTTTGGAATCGCTTAATAGTCAATTTTCTACTTTATTTAGTATTTATCAAGAAATAAGATTGTATTGAATTTAAGTATTAAAAGACATTTCTCATATATTCAAGGCGCCACAAGACCTGTCCCCCGAGGAGGAGGAGAGACGCAAGATCCGGCGCGAGCGCAATAAGATGGCGGCCGCCCGCTGCCGGAAACGGCGACTGGATCACACCAACGAGCTGCAAGAGGAGACCGACAAGCTGGAGGAGAAGAAGCGAGCGCTCGAAGATGAGCTGCGACGATTGAGCGCTGACCGCGAACATCTGCAGTCTGTGCTGCAGCACCACCTGGGCAGCTGTAGACTACGCGCCCCCCCTACGCCCCCCTCGCCTCCCTCTCCGCCAGATGTCAAGCCCTATTTATATGATTACCGGTCGGAGCCCGCGGATGACGTACGCGTTAAAGTCGAGGCGGTCGAACCAGTCGAGCCTGCGCATCTAACGCTCCACGACGACATATTCACCACGCCCATGTCTGATAAGAAGTAAGTGTGGCTATATTTTTTTTTTATCAACTGTTAGGGGACTTGGAGCACGTATTCGACCGCTGCGCTTTAAATTATAGATAATTGTATAAAAATGAGAACGGTTCTGGATCTGGAACAATCTAGAGTAATTATTAATTTGACCTCAAATTAGATGCTACTTTTATTAGAAATATTTATTATAACTCAGATACCTTGTTTTAAACATCCACGGCCTAGTGACCAATGGTGATGGCGGTATCTTCATTGTGTTAATTTCCTATAACACAAAGGCTTAATCTATTTGTATCTAACCATATGTCTCAATATTTATATCTATTTATTATATTATCATAGGAAATTAATCCAAACTGCTGATAGTTTTATTATAAACACTAAGATGCATTCACGATCATTTATTTGAACGGAACTTATGTGACACGTTTTTGTTTTATAAAATATAATTTTTCCTTTGACAGGATGATGTTATCAGTGGCGAATCCCGCGGTAGTGACGCAAGCGAGTGGGGTAACGGAGGGGGGTGTATTGGAGACCCCTCCTGTGAGGCCCACCCGGCCCACCTTCCTGCAGGTGCCACTGCACGCTAACCCCGCACAAGTATGTATCTTACGACGTGATCAAAAGTTCAAACAAAATGTGCAAATTTGACAAAATAATATTAAAAACTTCAAATTGATCCTTTAATTCTAAACCATAATGTGTTAATAGTTAAAAATTAATAGGGATGACGACTGGGTAAAAAAAATATAATTCTATTTAGTCCGTCAGTCAGATAATAGAAAAATATTAGATACGTATTTTTATTTACATTTCTAAGTATAACCATTTTAGACTTAGAAATGTATAAACAAATATCAATAGTATTAGTTGTCTGTAGTAGCTCGGTGGCGTAGCGGATATGCGCCGTAGCACGCGATCGTTGTCGTTAAGCAACTTTCGCAAGGGTCGGTCACGGGATGGGTGACCAAAAAACTATTATCTCGAGCTACTCCGTGCTTCGGAAGGCATGTTAAGTTGGACTCGGCTGCATTTGTAGTCGTTAATACCCGCCAATCCGCATTAGGCCAGGGTGGAGGGTCATGGCCGATGCTCCTTAACTTAGGCAGTGGGGACGAAATAAAGGGCTGATGATGATTATGATTTTTCTGTTATTTAATACTATCTTAATTTAATTATCTTAGTTATGGTCTCTCCATTACACAACTGACAGTATACTTGTATTGTCAACAGACGCACAAGCTGAAAGTATCCGGTGCAAGTGAGACAACCGTAGCGGGTGTGGAGATCAGCACGCCCAGTAACGGCATTCCGTTCAATTTCGACAGCCTCATGGATGGCGGCACCGGCCTTACTCCCGTCCATCCCCACCCTCACCCTCTCCCTATCTCCCTCTCGTTGCCTCTCTCTCGCACGTCCGCACCAACAGATACGCTCGTCAGCCTCTAGCCGAACACACCGTGTCATCAACTCAACTTTACAATCAATCCCGGTTCGAAATACGGAAGGACGATCGTAGGACATCGCTCAAATTTTGTATGCTAAAGAAACTTAAGGAATTTTATTTTTATATTAACATTTTAATCTGATATAGTTCAATTCTTTCTTTGTAAATGGAGAACTTTGCTTTTATATCTTCGTGTAGGTTTGTGAAAAATTATTTTTCATTTTTATAGTACTAATTGTCTAGTAGATTTTTACAGATTTGAAAGCGAAGTTCTTTTTTGTCAAAAATATTTTGTTTTCTTTAGTATGTTTTTTACAATGAGAATCGATTTGTTATGTCCGACTCCGTTAGTCCTCCGTTCGAATATGGACTTAGGGTTTGAAGTCGAATTTGTATCACTACCGCGTGGTCAGTTTCAGTGATCTCTGCGATTGATGTATAATTTATGAAACCTTGAACCGTATCCTTACATATAATATCTCATTCTTTACTAGTTATTTCCTTTCTGACTAACAAGTTATTTGATATAATTCATGATGTATTCATTGCCTTCGAACGGCCTAATTATCGGTCGCATAAGTATTATATTGTAAGATCGTTGGAAGTGGTTACCAGCGAAGAACGGTTGTGCATCTGAACCTATTAGCTCAGTCAAACCGGCGTGTATGACGCGACCGGAACCGGAAGCTATTACGTAGACCGGGAGTCGCGTATCATTAGATAATCTTATTTCTTTTCAACGGTCGCGATCGACAGCATCTTATTTATTTGGAAGTATTTTTTTAAGATTAAGCGACTCGTTGCTCACGCGCTTTGTATTTATATTAACATATAATTAAAATATATAAAGAATATTGTATAGATTGGTATATTAGTACGGAGTCAATTCGCGAGATGTAATACTTTATAAACGAGATATATTTTTATAATAATATAGAATATATTTGTAACGCAACAGAAATAATAAGTGTGATTTTTAAAAAATGAGTAAAACAGAGTTTTATTTGAAAGCATTTCAGGGATATATCGTTTTTATATATATTATATATGTATACCGATCCGTGGTCGATCTAGCGAGGCTAGGCGGTCGATCGGTCCGGCGTCGACTCGTGTCATGTTAACATAGTGCCATCGTCTACGTCACTCGACATAAACGGTACGTTGGTTAACCGTAAACTAACAGCAATATTACTTAAATAATTAACGATTAATATATTGGATGTAAGTTAGCTCAATGTCGATGTAACGTTTAGCCGTTCCATTGGTTTAGATACTGTTAGGGTAGCGTGTTAAGCGACTTGTGATACGTCCAGTGATGAACTTTTGTTGTCGATGGCATACCCGTTACGTAAACATCTATTTAGTAGTCACTATAAACTGGACGGATGCCGTCGACGTGAGATTAGTATAAAATATATTGTATTTTAGATACGAGTAATGGCAATGTGTATTTGCCTTGTTTATACAGACCACTGGAATTAAAATATTATAATAGTTTTAAGGCAATAATTAGGTTAAGTGGCACTTAACGATTTAATTATATTCGTAACTTAGACCAAATTATTACTTTTATGTGCTTTATTCTAGATTTAATTTAAAATCTAAGCCAAATATTGATTTTTTTTAATGTCGTTATTAGTTTTAAATGTAGATGTCCTTTTTACTTGGAAGTATTATTGATTGACGCAACAAGATCAATAAGTATTTATTTAGTATACATATGAATTTATTTATGGACATATACATTTGGTGCAATCGTGTGCGGTACGTTGCATACCAATATTTACATACAAGACGAAAACTATTTAATGTATGACGCAAACGAAATATTCAACGCATAATAAGAGCACGTAGGTTTAATAAGAGAGATGTAATTTTTTCTAGAAACTTTTTGGTAACGCAATCATAGAGAATAATTTTGTATTTTTCCATGAGAGTTAATGGCGAAGCAATATATGTATTGAATAAAATTGTTGGAGGAGTTACGACAGATATATTGGAACGCAAAATGTAAATCAGAAAATATAAAATTTGTTACATACACCTCAATTTGTGTTTTTTATTTGCAATTCCTATTTTTACTAAACAGCTAATCTATACTAATATTATAAAGCTGAAGAGTTTTTTTGTTTGAACGCGCTAATCTCAGGAACTACTGGTTCGAATTGAATTTTATAGAGGAAGGCTTTAGACTATATAATATCACGCTGCAACTTTTAGGAGCGAAGAAATAATGGAAAATGTGGAAAAAACGGGGAGCATTATTCATCCTTGAGAGCTTCCGTTGCGTGCGTTGCGAAAACGGTTCAAGATACCAAAAATATATATATGAAAAACTGCTATGATAACAGCAATCATTGTTTACTATTCAATTTGTAATTATATCTGTGTCATGCTATGAATCGATACGCAAATAAACAGTTCCCTAGATATCACGCGGGCGAAGCCGCTAGCGGAAAGCTAGTGAAGTATAATTTTGTAATAGAACATGCAGAAAGAATTGGAATATTAAATAAAGATAAGATACATCAAAACTTTATTGGATAACACACCAAGGAAATAGAAACATGAATAATAACAACTATGATAATACAATAGGTAGCTGGATTGCTTATCGTGTTACAAACGAGACATTTCATCGATGGTATCTATATAAATTATATTTTAGTTAATTATGTCATACTACCAGTCATGGATTGAGTACACGTAGCAAGTACAGTGTACATCAGTTCGGCAGCGCTACTAGGATTTTTAAATGCATTCTAAGTCCGTAATTTATCAGTCCGTTACAAAATAGGGGTTAATAGCCAATTAACGTGGGTAGTTTTAGAGATAAATGAAATTTACAAGGATTCGGATGAAGTAAGAACTCTTAACAGTTATTATATTATAACTATTAGCATAGATCTTCCTCTACCCCTCTAACCCCTCCTCCGTGAAGTCAGATAATATATTTTTGCGGTGTATGATACTTATATTCATTGAAGGATTTTGAAGCACGTCCGTCCCATGGTAGACTATAATGTATATGAAGAGATTTGTGTAGCTGGTTCTTTTTTGTAAGTGTAAAAATGCTGATTAAAAATAATGATGATTTTTGGTGCCCCCCTCCTTTACATCCGGGTCTGGACGATGTATATCTCGAATCTAGAGCATTTACATCAAACGCGTCCCTAGGCGTGTGCTTAGTTTGCCTGAAGGATAATCATTGACTGGGTTAGCGTGATCATTGTGTAAAGTTCACACGGTTTGATATTCTGTGGCAATAGTTGCGGCTCTTCAGTGCGGAGTACAGGTAGAACACTAGCTCCACTACGCTGATTGCACTGCATCCCATACACAAACCAAACACCCCGCCCAAGTTTGCTGCAACGAAAATAATTTATATACCTATAGTCCTTTCTCAGTTTGGCTATTCAATAGTTTTGACTGTCAATAGATAGTGCTAGTGTTTAATTTGATGATTTTTATCATTGAAAGTGTCTTTTATTCTTGCATGAGGGCATCTAGAGCTTATAATATTAATTTATCGATTTGATTTATGTTAGTTTCCTGAATATCTACGTAAATTTATTTTTTAAAACGAATGATATCCACTTTAATGGAAAATTTTACGTTTTTCGTTATGTTTTTACTTATTGCACTGTACTGTAACTATAATAATAAGTAATAATAATATTTATTACACCACAACAAAACAAAATACATACATGATTTTCATTACATCTAAGCTTATCATATACTTTATCTATTTAGTTAGCCACTGCTGCTGAACCGAGTTAATACCCGTCTTTCAGCATACAGCTCCTCAAAACCTCAGATTCTTAGAATTACTTCGTATATTTTAAGCAGATAAGTAACACTGAAATTTGTGTCATATATTTGGTACAAACTTTACCTAACCTATAGCGTTGTTACTTATTATACTGTAACTGAAACTGTAAAACTGCTGAACCTATCGGACGCCAATTAATAATATAATGTCGATCACCATTTTCGTTCGATTGGGGGCCATCCATAAATTACGTCACACGTTAAGGGGGAGGGAGGGGGTCGACGAAGTGTGACATTGTGTGACAAGGGGGTGGGAGGGTCCTAAATTTCGTGACGTCACATTTCAAAACCTATTATAATCTAAGTGTATATATCTAACACGAACTTTAAACTATTACTTTACAAAAACTTTGCAAAATATGTGACATCACACTAGGAGGGGGGAGTCTTACAAATGTGACATAAAGATTATAGACTACTTTTATGATGATAGTCAATATGTATGTCAGGCTATATAAGTCTGTCATATTTCTTTATTCGATTTTAAACCTTAGTGCTTTGAAGGCAGAGTTTAAAATCAACGACATAAAAAATATAGTGGTAACTTGGGGTGCAGCCGTTGAAATTTTATAGTTTGGGTTTACGCGCCCTCTTAACGTGAAATGACGTCTCCGAGTAGTAATAAGCTGTTCAATGCATATCTACAACTAAAAGCAGAAGCACTTGAGAACCTCCTTCTTTTTTGAAGTCGGGTAAACACAAAATATCTGTACTTACAAACCAAACTTATGAGTGATATAACAGTCTCTTGCTTCTTTTTCACAAACACAGACTTCGCGAAAAAGAAATGCATCACCGCAGAGCTCGTATTCAAACTGTGTTTTGTGCTATAAACAGAATAACAACAAATCATTCAGCTTGCGATATACATTCAAAATGTAGTTTGAAAAAAGTGTGGTCAGCTTACTAGATGTCACTTAGGGCGTATTTACGCGCGCGCAGGTTGCCCGGCATCATGTCCACAGAGTAGACGCGTGATTCACAATCTCGCAAACAATCACATTGCTCCGACCCCACCCAGATGTCCATGTGCTCTGCACATAAATAGAAAAATGAAGTGTAACTGGAATCATCACCATAAGAACCTGTTATAAAACAATTATATCTGATACTTTAACAGAATAGAGATGATATCTGGTAAAAAAATAGAAAAATATTAGGTGATGAATTTCATTTTTTCAAATAAACAAGAAATTGCTTAAATAATAGGCGTGCGAACTTCAGTGGGGTCTCGCTACGTCACAATTATGTAGATTTTCTACATTTCAATTAAACGTATCGTCATTACTTATTTATTACGCAAAAAATACCTGTTTCATCTATTAATATTCTATTTAACGGACAAAATTATTATTGTGATCATCCCTATCCACTCTGTAAGCTGTAATAGAATTCGCTTATGGTGGAATAGCATTTCTAGAACAAAGGTCCCGGGCTTAGGTGACTGGTGCCCTGGCAAATGGTCTACTGGCACCCCCTTTATTACCATAATATAAAAGCAAATAATCTATGTTACTTATATTTTATGAAGGAAATAACAAGAAAACACGTCCTTCACACACAAAACTGTAGACATTTATTTCTACATAATTCACGCTTCCAGCAAAAATTACAACTTAAAATTATATTTTTAAGGCAATTTGTTTCTCTCATTTATTTTATTACTAGCTGTGCCCGCAACTTCGTCTGCGTGGGAAGTATTTTGTTAGAATACTTTTATTCTTATGAATGGAGTCGAATCGAATAAGATCAATGGGCATAACCCACTATGCAGGCTTAATGCGGAGCGGTGGGTGTTAACGTTGCTGATGCAGCCAGGACTAACGACTTAACGTGCATTGTGCCAGTGCTGTGCACAGTGCTCAAGATAATAATGTTTTGGTCACCCATCCCATCCCCATCCACCCGTCCATACGAATGTAATTTTTCCATCTTCTTTCTCGTTTCTCGCGCTTTGGTTGTAGTTTGTGCCTGAGAATTTTATTCGTACCTTGACACTGTCCTTCTATTCTTTTTGATCTTTTTAAATTATTGTTATTTGTCTTTTTTGTATGCACAATCGGCTATTTATTGTTCTATTTTCTATGTAATGCTAGGTTGCCTGGAAAAAAATCACTTGCTAGCGATGAGTTTCTCGTTTGTACTTAGTTATGAAAAAAAAAAGTATTCATGTATATTTTTGTTGTGCAGTATTTTACTTATTTATTTCACTGCAATTTAAACCGAATGCGCTAACCCACTACGCCATCGGACCTCCTAAGATATACTAACTAAGATATCTAATTATAAACAGGAAAAATTTGGTAGTTTGTTTGTTTGCATCGAATTTGCCCCAAAACTACTGGAACGATAGTTTCAGAGCGATTCTGACCTACGGGAAGCTACATCACGGATGTCATATGACGGATGTCATGAGACGGATGGCTATAATTTTGCGGCAAAGTCGCGGGAAAACAGCTAGTTCATTATACCTTGTGAAAACTTATCTGCGATATGTCTGTGGTATATAAATACATATAAAGGCAATATATAAAGGCAACACGGGTTGGCGATACTCGAAACTACTTTCTCGATCTCTATTGTGCAAACTGCGAGCTCTTTCAGAGACCAAGGGCATTTCTCTATCAAAGGAAGTTTAATATTTGTACCATACTACGCTATGCGATCTTCAGAAGTTTCCTGAGATCAAATGCTTTTTGTATGAGTTCTCCGAGAGCTCAAGAGATTGTCCCTGACGGTAAATGCCTCAGATTCAACTTTATAGTGCATGAGCCTGGCGATGGGTAGTGTGATACGCTTTGCGTTTTTCAGGTGTCTCCGGAGACCAAGCGCTTTCTGTCCCATCTCTTTCTTTGCGGAGTTTTATTTATTGATATAAAAAATATATATACATATTTTAATTCACACTCGAAGGAAATCGTCTACTAATACATACTTCCGAGAGGTGCTTAACTGAGCTTCCGACAGATTTGAACGGCCCTCATCATCATCATCAGCCCTTTTACGTCACTAACTGCAGGAACCTTATGGATTAAGAAGGATGGGCCATGACCCTCCAGGCTGACCCGATGCGAATTGGAGGATATTAACGACTGCAATTACAACCGGGACCAATCTCTTTACGTGCCTTCCAAAGCTTGTAGTTGCTTGAGATAATATTTTTTTGGTCACCCATCCTGTGACCGACCTTTGCGAAAGTTGCTTAACAACTACAATCGCGAGCATGGTGTTTATTCACTACGCCACCGAGCTACTCTGAACCGATCCTCAGACTCGCATAATATTATATGAGTTGTGACCAATGAATAAAACATTGTTTCCGGCGAAGACTGAAAATACCAACTTTGAAGTACATATCTACAGCAAATTTGTATGTTAAAAATAAAACAAAAATAGTATTAACATAAAAAAGTAATAAGAGAAAAAAATATATAAATCGAGTTGTCTTTACGTTCTTAACTTCAGTTGACGTGAATCTAACTTTTTTAACGTCGTGGAAAAGCTTCTAACATTGTCCCTGCTACGTGGCAAGCAACAGGTGGTGAGTAGGATTCTCCTCCGTGAACCCGATAGTGAGCTGCCCTGTGGGTCCCCAGAGGCCTACTCACCAAAACCCGTACGCTACACCGTCCAGAACACTCAAGTATTGGACCATCGGGCCCCTTGCAGATGGAAAATTGAAGAGGCTCGGGTAAATCGAGTGCCTCTCCCAGACAGACGAAACCGTGCATTGCGGGGGCGGCAGCCAACCACCTCCGCTGGCCCCGACGACGACGTGAACCTAATCTGATAAAAATATGCGTTCACTGTAAATGATTGATGCTTAATTGCATCATCGGAAGATTCTTTCCGCTTGTTCTCCTACTCGCGTGATCGTATACCACACGACCATTATAAGCTGAACCCTATTTAATATCATTGGCCATTTATAAATGAGGTCAACTTACTTTGGAAGGTCAAAATTTTGGAATCTTAATTTTTTATTTTTCATCATACAAATTATCATTGTATAGACAATATTAATTCGTAGCTCGGTGGCGCTACGGATAAGCGCCACTGGGTACGATTGATATTGCTAAGCAATTTTCGCAAGAGTTTTTCACGGGATGGGTGACCAAAAATTATTAATCAAAGGCCTGAGGCCCTGCAGTTTAGCTGTCAAAGAGTTAATGATGATGATCAATATATCAGAGACGAAAATTTAATAAAACAGTTAATATTTCATAGCAATTTTGGCGAACACGTCACTTCAAATTGACATAACTTTTTTATTTGTGAACCGATTAAAATAAATCTTACACTAAATGTTAACGGAAGAGTACCGCAATATAATAGTGAAAACTGCATTTAAATCGGTTCAGCCGTTTCTGAGATTATCGTGCACAAACGCACAGACAAACAGACAAAAAAAATAAAAATCATTGTTTTGTGTTCTATTACGCTTATAAATGTCCCTCATAACAGTTTTTTTCATATATCTTCAATGTACAGACATCGATCGGTTACGTTTTTATTATACTTAGTATAGATCTCTTTTATTTTGCGCCCCCAAAAATTTGGCGCCCTGGGCAAATGCCCAGTCTACCCATTTATAGCCCGGGGCTTGCTAGAACAGAGAACATAGTTGGATTATTTTATTTATAGATTTTGAAGATCCAAGAACAGACGAAAAAACATATGATAAGATACAATCGATACGATGTTTAAAAAGCAGTACTTATTAAACGCCAAATAGTGTACGGGCAGAGCAGTGAAGTTGCTACGATAAATCGTTGTCGCGTGGACCGGACATTGCCGGATATATGCCTCAAAATAGTATCTACTTTAGTCTGAAAATAGCGAAGCTTTGACCGGTCAAGTCAATATATCCGTTAGGTCAAGGTAAATATAAAAATAGATACTGTTAACGTCGATGTAGCATGGCAACGCGGTGAGCGTACACAGTCGATGAGCTGGCACCTGAGGCAAATACGAGGGTATGCAGTTGCATGTTGCTTCTACGTTACTCGCCGTACACAAATGGTCGCAGTCGCTGTTGTGGTACCGGCCGAAATGACGCAGTCGTTTCTCGTCGTGCAAATAGCATTTGCGACTGTTAAAAAAAATTGTAATATAGGCACTGATACTTCATAAAGATCCTATGTACTGAGATTCATGACTCTGATGATATAGAAAGGAAAGGAAGGAGGCTTGTCTTTTTATATGAATTCACCAGTGAGCGGTTCAGTGAGTGTCCGAATTTAATTCGAACAAGGTATTGACGTTTCGTGGCGTAAGTGAAGTGAGTTTCAAAATGAGATAGGGGTAGTATATATGAGCCATGTATGAACCAATCAATCTTGTTTTGTATATATTTTTATACGAAAAATTTTGCCGATTCGCTATAGAAGTGAATTCGGTATTCGGTTTCCGATTTTTACGAAATCGCTCTGCAGTTCTGCGGTCTGGTGAATATTTTCATGTATTTTTCTATAAGAAATATGTAATAATGAGCATTTCAAATTCAAATAATCGGTCAAGTAATTTCTTTTACAAAATCATGTTCTACACTTTCTATGTCGACACACAGACGCTAAATGGTATTAAATAAAACACTTTTTTTTCTTTACCATTTAACTCACTATAAAAATGATTTAACCAAACTGTTACACAGTAGCATTAACGTGATATGGCCGGTATCAGTACCTCGATCGGCCCAATTCAACGACGCCCACGACATTGTTATTTTTATTTTATGGAAAGTGTATTTAATAATGGTGATGATGACTGATGAATAAGGGGTCTATCTACCTGTTGACTGGCAAGTTCTTCACCTCCTGAGAACAGTAGGTGTAGGTGGCGAATAGTGAGTGGAAAGACTCAGAATTGGACAGTACCAAAGTGGTCACGTCGTCTGCTGGGAATTCCAACCAATCGGTGAACATCACCTGCACATTGAGATTATCGTTAGGATTATACATTTCATAAGTTTTCATTAATGCTATAGGAATTATATAACTGTAATTGATAACTAATGCAAAATTAAAACACAACTGATTTTGTGAGCCACAGGAAGAGTTTTGTGGTACATTTTGATGGACAACTGCATATTCAGTTGTATCTATAATAATATGCAATAATTTCATATAAATTATAATCAATATATTTGATATAATAATTTATATTGGATTAATATTATCATATAAATCCAATATAAATTATTATTATTTAAATAACAAACATTTAAACATATTCTATGTGAAATATCTACTAAGTTCTAACTATTACGGAAAACCTAGAAACGGTTTTTTGTTACACTTTAATAAATCAAGTTCTCAAGCTTGGTCCGCCTTTATTCATTTGCTTAAGCATCGAACCCGTCACAAAACTAAGCAATGATAGCAGTTCTGCCCTTCTTATTGCAAACGCAGTAATTGCAAAATGGCGGTTTAAAGATAAACGCGGGAAATATATTTTTTGATCATTAAACAACAAGTCGATGTTATATAACATTTAAATTGTTCCTAAAAAATAAGAAAAAATGCATGCTTTCTATCAACATATTTTTTCCTTAACTTAAACGGCATTATCTGCATATAATGCGTAATACTGCATTTTCATCTACCATTTTGGGATTTTAGGTATAGTAGTACCACTAAGTCCAAATGCAGTATCTGTGTTTGTTACTGCAAAATCGCCTAGCACGTGTTTAGAACTGCATTTCTAGTTAGCAATTATGTACTATTTTTATGCATTGTACTAGTTCCAAGTGTTGATTTCATTTAATTAAGAAGCTAAGAAAAGAAATAAAAATGTTTTGGTAGGAAAACAAGATAAGACAAATTATTACTAGAAAAGTAGTTTTATTCATTTACATTAAACTTATTATCACAAATCATCATAAATTGAATTTTTCTTAATTATTATAGCAATTACATTATAAAATTCACTTTAGGAACATTTTTTATTAGTCTAACATCACTAATATTTTTTCTCAACTTTCTAAATCCTACTGAACAATATTAATTCTACACCTTTTTGGCTAGTCATTGTGAAATAATAAAAAAATAACTGTGACAACCAGTAAAGGAAGCATTATCTGTTTCAGAATGTGTAAGGCACATAGATCAAATTATTTTAATTTTGTCTTGTGCACCCACAGAATGTACACCCGTAGCAATATTAAAATTATATATTAAATCTCAAAGAAAACGGGTAGATTAAATACCTAACCTTATAATACAAAAATACATAACCTTTAAAATATTTGACCATACTTCTTGAAATATAAACTTTCAAAAAGACGTAAACTTACAAAACTAATTACTAACATTTATCGTAACAAAACAGAATTCTTTTAAAACCAAATAACAATAAAATTATATTTGATCAATTTTACATTCACAATGCTAAACTGAAATATATTCTTAATACAAAATGCTTTAAAAAAATCCACTTGGGATGGTACCCTGAGATCTCTTGGATTGCGAAAGGTCATGGATTCGAATCCCATCTCAGGGTTCCAGGGACCAAGTAGATTTTTTAAGCATTTTGTATTAAGAAAACAATAAAATTACTCCTCAAAAAATAAATTTTAATATAAAAATATTCAATCTTCAGGCTCCCTCTGTTCTATCAGATCGATTGAAGTATTGTTTATTGGAAGATTTTCCCAAAATGCCAAACGGTTTTGAGGTATTCTGTCATCTAATTGTTTCAATATACCAGTCTTCAAATCTTGAGTTATCCCATGAGGCCTAGTATTTTGAACAGGACAAGGTATCGAACCCTGTTTGACTAGTTTATTTTTGAGAAAGTCGATTTCTTTTAAAATTTTAATCAGTTGAATCACAACTAGGCATTTTAACATTTTAATCAGGAACGGCAGGTACAAATATTGTTTTATATTGACATAGATGATTAGTCTACTAGTGATATAGATGTCCTAAGCGTCTAAGTAATTAAGTATTATACGGCTAAGTTCCGTTTCAGTAAAATAATAAAGTGTAAATAGTGTAAATTTAACTCAATTTACGAATAAATATTTCTATATTTACCTACAGTTACAGGGCATGTACATATATACACTAACACCTATACATAATTACACATAAACATGCACGCACACACACACACATAAACACATAGAAATATTTTATCGTGTGGGTGGTCTTCTCTCGGCAGAGTGTAAAAACAGGAGTCGCTGCACAGCACAAGCCGCACTCAACTCATCTCGAGCTGGAAAAATGCGTTTCGTGCGTACGAAATTTGACTTTCTTATATACCATACAATATAGCCAAAAAGCCCCCTCTTTAACCATCTATAAGAAAGACCTGATCCCCTTCAGTGGGGACGTAACAAGGTTGATGATGATAGCCAAAAAGCAGATCGCCGTGACACACAACAGAACTAGATAATTAAATAAAAAAAAAAAACTTACCAAAACCTTCAATAAATGAATTAGAAGCACCACGGGACGAAGCTAAGGCACGCTGGGCGCACACGTATTCCGTCCTCGAATGACGTTTTACGCACTGATTTACTAGTGTGAAACGCAGTAATGTACCTTACGGCTTCGGTGTGTGCGTAGGTAGCATTGTATGCATTAGGTAAGCTTCCTACTTGCAAATGCAGCACTGTAGATTACTGCATTTGGTTTTAGCATAGCAATAGCAGCTTTTTGTTATATGCCATATACCCAAATGCAGTACTGTGGAATACTGCGTTTGACTTTAGTTTTTATTCCTTATAAATAATGATTTGTTAAATGAAGCTGCAGTAAACGCATCAAGTACTGCATCAACGTTTAGTACATGCTGAATGCTGCCATTCCTGTTAGTATAACCAATACTTTTGGGCATGTACTGCATTTCGTGTTAAATAAAAAACATAGATATAATAAAAAAAGAATGGAAATTAATTTTTTTATACATGGCTTAAGCCCATTAGATGTCATTTTTGTAAAAAAATCAAAATCCCTAAAGTGTCGATTACTGCAATTGCAATTAGCAGGGCAGCAGTTCTATTGCACAAAATAGATTAATTTAGGTTAATACCTGTCAAATTGTAATTTCAATTGTGTAACTAAAATAACAAAGTGATATTATTACATTAAATAGTAGAATAGAGTACAATTATAATTCTTTCGTTACACGTGACTATGGGATAACGTTAAAACAAACACGATATAAATTAGAAATTTTTAGTTTTGTTTCATTTAGAGTTGTACAACAGAATTTCATAATTTAAAACTATCTAGTTTGTACTCTAAACCGTGCACCTCTGTCAAACGAGCTCCCGTCACTCACTGCATGGTGGCTATTGCGGATCATATTTTGAATCGGTCTGGATTAGGGGTCGGTTAAATCGTAAGATGCCGTAGAAAAAAATTCGAGGTCAAGAAAAAAAAATCAATACAATTAGCGATTTAATCGCAAATGTGCTACAGTTATATAACGAAACGGTCGGTGTGAAAAATTCCCGGCCACTTATTTATTCATATAAAACAAAATATTCATCAAGAGACATTTATATAAGGTAAGGTATATTTCACAATATTTGGTGGCTCTAGGTTCAACTTTTCAGATTTCTCCTAGAGAGGAGTGTTTATTGTGGTCCGCTCTAGTACATTAATTAATTGATCTAAAAACTTAAGGTATTGAAATCAGACCCGTATGGCACCTCCATTAGCCAGAGTACCGTCGAGTGCGTCGTGGGGTTGACTATCAGCCACCACGGTCAACGAGCTCCTCTTGCCCCATCGCTTCACCAGATGCACTTTATGATCTGTTCTTTGCACGTTCCTAAAACGGAATAATTTCTGTGATTCAATAGTTTCCGTATATCGAGGTCAAGAGACTTACTAAGGTATTGTCGCCTAAGGCCTACTAATTTCTGGTCATAGTGCAAAAACCCAATTGAAATATTTTGAAATTACCTTCTTCTGTTCTTAAAGATCTGTCAGTAATTGAGCAGGCCCCGATCTCCAAGTTTTTCCAACCGGGGCAGAAATTTGATATTGAGCCTTTACATGGTTAGATGAAAGATCAAGGAAGATTTCACTATTCACCTTTTTCCATCCTGAAGGTGATAAATACTGTTGAATGTACAGCAGAGTCCATGCGCAGTGAGGATGGGGTGAAATAGGTTTTTGCAACCGTCGTACTCTTGGTCTTGGAAGTAGCAGAACCGCAAGAATTGATCACAACTCTGAGCCAACAGCGAGATCACCTCCGGTATCTAAGATTTAGGTTCACGTTAAGTTGGTTAAAGAAAATCCCAAACACTTTGACGACAAATAAATAAAATTCAATTATTAGTTATAGTGACGGTTAGTTGTAGATCGGGTAACAGATTTTATTTTATTGCGATTCTTTTATATAACTGAAAAAAAAAACCATTAATTAGAAATAGAAATAATTTATTTCATATTTTATTAAAATGGCATTATACCGCACTTTTATTTCATTAAAACCACAAAACGCAACAGTTAATTGGTGAACATGTATGGGCTCCTCGATTAAAAAAATAAATCATAATATCGATGTTGATTTAAATGTCATACTTATAATGCTTACCGTGTACCGATTGCTATCGATGAGCTCTTGCAAAAGCTCAAGGTCTTCCTTGATGAGCTCTACGGGTGGCTGGTAGAATCCTAGCAATAAAGGGAGGAGCTCATTCACCCGTGACGTTGCCTTACCATTGCTGAATGTTAACATAATTTTGTGATTAAAAGCTTAAATTCTTTCTTCGCAACTGAGTATACATTTATAATCATTTTATTTCTTATTATTTTTAATATATGAGCTATTTTATAATTTCATCTAAATAATCGTGCCGACCTCAAAAGAAGGTAAAGAATGAATGATAAAGTTGATGAAGTAATAAAAAAGCAAGATTTATATTTTAGGTTAAAACATTTTTAAAGTAACTTTACTTACACGAGAGTCTTATTGAAATGTCTGACGGAGCTAATAGTTATCTGATTAGGCGAGCATATGGTGATGGCGGGATATGGCATATTTTCTACTGGCTCGTACTGGTTCTCTATTGTGATTCTCGTGGGCATCTTGTCAAAGCGCTGGTAAAGTTGTAACGCCATTGTGCACGCGAAAGAGAACACCAAGAACATATTAAGGGCCCAAAAACATCTGTTTTAAAAATATTTTTTTGATTTTAATTAGTCTATTTCTTTACAACTGGCGCCACGTTGGGCGCCACCGAATATTACCTCTAACCTATTACGATAAAGTACAATACTTTACAAGACTTATATAGATTCTCATGTAAATTTACTTTTAACAACTCACCTCGAGATCCTATCAGGATATATATAGAAATATTTTAATCCAACCACAGTACTCTGCAAACAATATCTCTTAATCATGGAACGAAAATTTCCTTTCATTTTGATAAAGTATTATAAAATTACATTCAAGGGCAGGTACGACCGACTAATACCATAAAATATTTGTACGAATACAATGAAATACGTTGGTGAGTGTAATTAAAACAGATAATTAGCAATAATTTGTAGATCTAAATCAGGAGCAGCTGCGGACTGTTGATAGTAGTGACCTTGTTTCTACTTACTGCGCGTGTTTATTTAATTACTACTAAATGTACCTAGCTGCTTTTGAGGGTTCCGTACATGAAGGGTCAAAAAGGGTTATTACTAAAACTCCGCTATATATCCGACTGCCGCCACACCACGCTGTATCTCATACACCGTGATAGCTGAACAGTTAACATCTTCACTGATAATGTATTTTTGTTGCCACTATGACAACAAATACTAAAAAGCGATAAAATAAACAGGAGCTCCTACACAACAAACGTGATTTTTGCGTTTGTATAGATAGTGGTACGGAATCTTTATTGTGCGAATTTTATCTCCGAATATATATCAAAAAATAAATAGCTACAAAATACTAGAACATGTCACTATGAAAAGACACTATTAAATTCTAATAGACTAAAGTTTGATCTCCATGCAACCAAGCGTTGGTGGTGCGCTCCGAACCCCATTTTACACTATGATCAAAGCAATTCAGACTTCTATACAATTGTTAAGGGTGAAGTTGGAAAGAAATTGACACTGTTTGGAACTCTGTTAAATGCTATACCACATTATCTATATACCACAACAGCTGGTCAGCTCCTTTCAAGGCTGTTGTCAGGTACTATCAGGTCAATAGGCCACCGTCATGCGTGTTGTAGGCGAGTCCACTAAACAGATGAATACCAATCCAGCTAGTGATACCATATACCAATCCATTATTATTTTTGTTAGTGATCTATAGCATGACGCACAACAAAGTTCAATTTTGAAATTGCAAGAAAATTTCAACTGTCATTTAGATAATTGTTTATTATTTCTCCTGCCCTAGGAACAAACTATAGAAATTTACCAAAGTTTACCATCTCTTACGTTCTGTAGCGTAGAAAGGTAGCTAGGGATATTCAAATAAATAAATAACAACAACTGTGTAGGAAAGTTGTATAAAGTGATTTATTGAGAATTTTACAATTGGTAACATGTCGGAGTCAAAGTTTCAAGTTTCAAACAATTCCTTTTTAATTATTACCTATTCAAATATAAATAATTCTAATTTTTAAATGCATTCTTTATGAAGAATAATAATAATTAGTAGATAATAAAATTAGCGTCTAGTGATTTAGGATTAATAAAACTATTGACATAATTATCAATTTTAATAAATTGTTTGACAACTAATGGTTCATGTATATTAGTTGAGCTATAATCAATCATTAGGTAAAAATACCTACGGATATAGAACGGTAAATATTTTAAGAGTACAATAAAATTTTGACAATAATTAATCTTGGAAACATCTAATAAGCTAAAACTAATTTATATATTATATAATTAATTAAAATAAACGTTATTTTAAACGATAAATTATATAAACATTTGTTACTGTTGAAAAGCGTCGCTTACATAGCAATGCCACGTCTTTTGATAGAGGAGTTGATGTAAACTTCTACATTATACTTACTTTAAAGTATAACTTGTAATTGTAATTAATTTATGGATTCTCAATATAAAAAAATTATTTATACAAAAAATACAAGCTGTCAGTAATGAACGTTTTTGGCCATTTTTAGACTTGTGACCAGATTTTGGCCACTTTAAGAGTAACGAGGAAGTGAACTGTGACACATCATAGCTGTCGATGGTGTTAGTTTTATCACGATGCAAAACTTTATAAATCGTTCACGGCCTATACGTTAGTTAGAATGTCTTGAAGTGTCAAATGGCCAAGAAAAGGGCAGTGGCCAAAACTGGGTCTTTTGCTCTAGGTATTGTTATCTAAGCGACGTGTTATTTTTATTGTGCAATAATAATAGGAAAATTATAGAGATTCTGTTTAGATTTCTTAATTTCCATATCTTTATTAATAATAAAGCTGAAGAGTTTGTTTGTTTGGTTGAACTCTTTAATCTCAGGAACAACTGGAACCTATTGAATTTTTTTTTTGTGTTGAATAGTGCTATACGCTATATAATATCACGCCATGACTTATAGGAGTGGAGCAGTAATTAAAAATTTAACTATAGAAGCCATTGGTTTCAAATCAATTTGTCATTGTAATTATGTTCCATTTCGTCCTTTTACAAATCCATTATTAAATGATTTAAGGTGTTTACGCAGAATTAAATAATGTGTAATGGTTAATGGTACAATCGCTGTCGCTAATATTAAATGCATATGTTATGTTGGTTAACTACACGAACATGTTATAATTTAGCTGACGCTACTGATCACTAGATTACACTATTGTTCTTTACAAGCGGGAATTTGATTTTTGATGTGTTTGTATACACTTTAATTACGCCAACAAAGTGATAAAATAAAATAAAAAAATTGTTCCAGTTACCCCCACTACATGTTAAGTTGATGATGAAAAAAATTTTCCTTCCCATAGCGTGGGGTATCGTTGGATAGGTCTTTCAAAAATATTAGGGGTATAGGAAGACAGTTTTTCGATTTAGTAAACCGTTTGTGATATATTAAGCTTTAAAATGTCAATTTTATTTTATTAATTTTTAAAATGTCCTCCTCTATTAAGCAAACGTTTGTTGTTAGAAACTCAAACGTTACGGCAGTAGTATATTTATATATAACGAATGTAATAGAAAAACTATCAAACCTAAGATGGATTTAGAAATTTACGAGTAATAATCGACCAAATTTATTTAACTCGAAAATTTCGAACAACTTCTTTGAAAACAACAAACGTGTTTTTTTGCTTTTTTTATGGATAATGGTACGGGAAACTTCGTGCACGAGTCCGACTTGCGCTTATCTGGGTTTTCGTTCAATATATTTTAATGGATAATTATTCATCGGACGACAAAATAATGTGTGGGTGACTATAAACGAGATACTTCAATATTTACCTCAGGAGCATTAAATTATGTTTGCGATTTTTCGCTTTCGTACTAAACTGCCGATAAATATAAATTACTGAATAGCAACTTAAATTCAAAGTATCAGAGGTAAATAATAAATAGGGCGAAAAAAAAAGCCTTTATCTCTAAGTCCAAAATAAGAACGGTAGACGAATATCTCCGAGCAAAATGACGGTGTAGTTACTAAACGACTATTCTTTCAAAGAAAACATGTGTTTGTATTTTTTTGCAAGGCGTGTCAATTCTATTGCGCTCAATGGCAAATTTTTGATTAAGATTTACTTAATACTCTAGTATAGTAAGCCAGTGCGCACATAGTACCCTCGGATCACTTGAGCGAAGCCGCGGATTACAGCTATATTTTATAAAGATATGGATCTACATCACTATGGCCTAAGTCAAAAACATTCGAAAACTCAAACATATTAGCAAATCTAACGAATTAAAGCACGAACGTTTCTTGAATAAAATATGAACCATTTATTAACCATCTATGAGTATTTATTAGTACAACTACGTAAGTTCCAATAATATCGTCTTTTTGTTTCCTTTTATAACATTTTTAAATGAAAATGTTATGTGATTCATGAAAATTGCTTCTATAGCGAACAATGTCTGGGCTTTTAAAAATATATCAGACATTATTTTTGTAATTATTTTATCTAAGTATCTTTAAATTCACCAAGCATTCATGGCTATATAATATCAATTAATTGAGTAATTATCATTTTTATTAAAAACAATATGTAAGCATTAGAATTGTAAAACATTATTTATAGTCGATGAATGTATTACCGATATAATTGAATATATTGAATGAATAGATATTGTCTATTGTAAAATTTAATTATTTGGAATCGTACCTTTAAAATATGTTCAATGTTTGCAGTTTAAAGATGAAAAGAGAAGCGTTGACAAAGCTTACATCTAAAATTGGTCAGTTACATGAGATCTAAGCTATAAAATATTACGTGGAAAGCAAGATAAATATCTCGTTACAATTTATTATATATATAACATTCTCACTATTTATCTGTATAAAATAAACTCATTTAAATATACAATTGTAATATAATAAGCAAAATGCTCTAAGTTTTAATAAAAATATTCTATGTATTTTTTTAATATCAAAACGACACTATATATATAATTATCGCTGAGGGTGTTTACACAAAATATTTCGGTATATTGGTCGGTACTTATTACGGTCGGATTGTTTGGTACTTCCATGTCCGAGCGATAATCACTTACAGATGGCAGATCGCCAACGTCCTTGACCTACTTACGCTTACGTTTAATGGAATTGTGTAATTTTTTACGTGTTTTCCTTATACCAGTACAGAATACCAATACAGAATCAACACAAACATGGAATACACAACATTTAAGTCAACCAATTAGCTACTTGACTTTCTGGGGAAAAGTATTTTTTAAATTACAATTATGTTCATATTTAAACAACTATCAGAATTATTGTTCTGCCGTGTTATAGCAAATCCATATTTTTATTCATTGATATTACGAGCCGTGACGTCACATTTCAATTGCAACTATACGTACTCGCAACAAAGACGTTGACGTTTACTTTAGGGAATATTTCGGGAATATTCGCGTAATATCACATGTCGATGTCATATGAATCGCCGTCATAATCGCCTGCGTTTC